TTTTTATTGTTGATTAACACATGTAACACTGTTCTTTCTATCACACGCGGCGTCATCAACATTACATTTTAACTTAACAATATGATCATAGCTCGATCATAGATATCGCTGTTTATTGAATGGGCTTTTAAGAAATGATAAAATTGAGAATCGAAATGGGGAATGTGTCAAAGAGACAACAACCCGACCAAAGAGCAGAAAACAGTCGAAAGCCACCAATGGGTCTTCAACACAGCGAGAAAATCCCGCACCCGGAGGCGGGCTTCAGCTGGCCCCTAAACAATAATGTATACTAGTTCAGTGAAAATGGACGTCACACTAAACTCCAAAATATATAAATGAACTAAAATTAAAAAAATACAAGACTAACAAAGGCCAGAGGCTCCTGACTTGGGACAGACGCAAAAATGCGGCGGGGTTAAACATGTTTTGTGAGATCTCAACCCTCCCCCTATACCTCTAACCAATGTAGAATAAACAAACACACAACAATACGCACAGTAAAAATCAGTTTAAAAGAAGTCCGATTCCGATGTCAGAATAGGTAATAAAAGAAACTAAGCAAAATGAATGTAATTCATTGCTACTTTTTTATATACTAGATGCGTGTGATAAACTACAATTTACTAAGAAATACCCTTTACATTACAATATTCGTGTAATACAATAGTCAAGTGTTTCAGGAACAAAACCCTTCTAAAGTTGAGTCAAGTTCTCTATCTTTATAAAGGAAACTTCCTTGTTTACAAGCCACTAAAACAATTGAATCTTTTCTTCACTTACTTTACTGTACACTTGTTACAAGTATTGTTTAAATACATTGTTTTGAAATAAAGAAAAACTCACAAATATTATAAAATATTCACTATATGACACAAAAGATAAAAAAAAATAATACTACATCATTTCACTAGAAATAACACTAGTTTCCAAATTAACCTGAATATGGTACGTTCGAAACAAATACATTGGAAAATATATTGAACTTTTAAGTGTTTCAAAGCCAAAGTCAGTCAGGATTTAATACACTCATCAACTGTTATTCTTCAGGATGTTAGCTACTCTGTTTCAAAATAACAGGCTTTTTAAAAGACTATTATAAATTGATAGTATATGAATAATGGAACTGAAAAAGCAGAAAAATTGTAGGGTCCGTGTGCTTGTCTTAGAGATATAAGCCATTGAAAATTTGGCGGGAAATAATTCTCTCTAGACTTTTCTTACATTTAACATTGGCACCCTTTTTCTTTCAAAAATTATGAAAAAATAACAAGGATTTTATAGGATTTTCAAATATGGCTTTTTAAACTATTAGTAATAAAATTATAAAAAGAGAAGTAGGGGTTAGTGGGGATTTTTTTTTAAATGACACTACATGGATAAAACCAGAGGATTCCGAATATCTGGCAAAAATTCAAAAACAAGAGGAGCGAACATCCTTAAATATATAACTGATCTCATCAGCGGAATAAAAAAAGGAACACAGCAAAACACGTAACTCTATAATACCTGTATAAATAACAGATAACAAATACACAGAAGGCCGTACTTTGACCTATAATGGTTTACTTTTACAATTTTTAACTTGGATGGAGAGTTGTCTCATTGGCACTCATACCACATCTCCTTATATCTAAGTACAAACAAAACAATAATAACAATATCACATCAAAGAATTCTCTCAATTACTGAAGCATGCTGAGAGCAGTTAACCTGCTGATATGAAATCAAGCCGTCTTACTACATCGGCGGCTGTACTTCGAAGGTGGCAGACGTCATACAGCGATGCCATAACAAGTTCAGCACTACATGATCTTTTACAATACCCAGTGAAAATCTGCACAGAATGTCATTATAGAAAACAAAATGAATTAAAAAATAATCGTGTTTCAAACTATACATTAGCAATTAAATGTTAACCCCCTTCTCCCTAAGAAGACGATAAAAATATCAGACGCAATGATAACAACTTTTATCAATATTGCTATAAAAGCAAAACAAAATTTTATTTATCAATTTCTTGTCTTGTTTGCCTTAGAAAGAATGCCAACCGTAGAAACCTTGATGTGAAATACCACCTTTAATTAAAAGGCTGCACGCAATCATACCCCCACCCCCTCTCCTAAAAAAATCTATGTTTTTTATAATATTGAATATATATTTTCTGTTTGTCTTGAAATTGTAACAACCCTTAAGATTTGTAAATGTGACGACACAACCCTAAAGATTTGTAAATGTAACGACACAACCCTAAAGATGTGTAAATGTGACGACACAACCCTAAAGATTTGTAAATGTGACGACACAACCCTTATAATTTGTAAATGTGACAACACAACCCTAAAGAATTGTAAATGTGACGACACAACCCTGAAGATTTGTAAATGTGACGACACAACCCTTAAGATTTGTAAATGTGACGACACAACCCTAAAGATTTGTAAATGTGACGACACAACCCTAAAGATTTGTAAATGTGACGACACAACCCTAAAGATTTGTAAATGTGACGACACAACCCTAAAGATTTGTAAATGTGACGACACAACCCTTATAATTTGTAAATAAGACGACACAACCCTAAAGATTTGTAAATGTGACGACCAAACCCTGAAGATTTGTAAATGTGACGACACAACCCTTAAGATTTGTAAATGTGACGACACAACCCTAAAGATTGTAAATGTGACGACACAACCCTAAAGAATTGTAAATGTGACGACACAACCCTTAAGATTTGTAAATGTGACGACACAACTCTTAATATTTGTAAATGTGACGACCCCTATGTTTTATTTTCATATATTTAGGGCTGACAATTTGATAATAATTTGATTTTCTAGGAGGATGGGTGGTGATGTAGGGGTGGAGGATAGTGGAAATGAATATTCTGCCCTAATAACTGCAAAAATAACTTTACCAAAGACAGGATGAAAATGAATAGTCTGCCCCATTAAAAATGCAGGACAAAGCAGAAATAGGTTATATTCATTAGTGAAAACAAATTTTACGTTCGAAATAAAGTACATTCAATTACCAGTATGAAAAAAAAATAATCGAATAATCGTAGCCAACGAGAAAAAAGAATGTAAGTAAGTAAGTAAGTAAGTAAGTAGATCATTTTTTATAGTGACATGTGTAACATAAATAATATTACATAATAATAATACAATAGTTATGTTAAATTACACCCGGCCTGTTGGACCTATAAGTCACATGACATTAAACTTAATGTTCATATTTTCAATAAGCAATATGAATGACTACAAGTGCAGAAAAACTATACGGCAGTTTGTTTCCGGCCTGTTTTTTGTTACCTTTGTTTTGTATCTGACTTGTACGACGTTTCAAGAAAGAAGTAGTACATTTTGCATTTAGAAGAGGTAGCAAAATTAAACAGATTAGAGACTTAAATGACCATATACAAGTTAATGTAAGTTACAGTTTAAACAAACTTTTTTTTCACTTTCCTTCAGCCGAGAGGTTTTTTTTCTCAAGAAATTCAAAAATCTAATAATTTTATAAAAAAGAACCATATCAAGTAAAAGATGAATGTCGTACACATTTGAGACTTTTTTAAATGCAACTTCGCAAGTAAGTAATGTAGGAAAAAGATTTAAGAGGTAAGCAAGCTAACATTTGATTTTTATTTGGGGAAAAACGGAAAGGGGGGGGGGGGGGGGGGGGGGGGTTAAACATTTAAAATAACAGGCTTGATCCTTTTTTGTTGAAAAAATGCAGGATGTGCCATTCCATTCCCCATTCCCTCTTAAAAAAATAATAAAAATCGTCCGTTTGCTCCCAATTATATATGAATTCAATATATATGATTTCAATAACAGTATAAATGTATAAAAAGAACGAAGTTCTTATTTCATTAGTGAATGAAATGTTATGAAAAAAATAGATTTTGGCTTTTTATTAGATATATATAGGCCTATATTTTGGGTTTTTTTTAAATTTTCATGCTTGTAGGTCTCTAATAGTATTGATCAGGATTAAACACGTGTCACAATTATGATCCAATCGCAGCTTACCGTCCAAAATTGGTGACATAAGTTGAAAGATTTTCTTCAAGATTTGCTGCCTATTTGGACGTGTATTACACGGACACTTATTATTTATAGGATCAATCGTGCATTGGTGAGTTGATAGGGATTTTATCTTTTGATTAGATTTGATTTTTTTATGTATATATATTTACTGTCTTTTATATTGAAATATAAACGTCGGTACCAGCATTTCTTTACTTTCAGCATTGTCCAGAATACTATTCATGTCCATATATTGAAAAAATACATTTACGGACCGACCATTTAGCTTCAAAAGGGGTATGTTTTTTTTTCTGAGTAAGAAAATTAATTACCTTTTCAACGCTATCACCAAATATTTTTTTTCGAAATTAGCACTTTAATATACTGTACTCGGAAAATCAGGAATCAGAACATTATTTTGTCATCTGCTTGACCACACTATATTTTTTCTCATAAAATTGGGGATCAGAATATTTTTTTTGTGGAAAAAACCATAACCCCCCTTTTTAAGTTAAATGGTCAATTCCGTAGTGTACTGATATGAATAGTAATATACTGGAATTGTTTGAAAAAAATACAGTTATTTGATGCCAACGTAAATATTTTAAACAGACAGGAAATATGTCGGTGAAACAAAAAGTTCAAATCTAATCGAAATTTAAAGTGCCCATGAACTCACTGATCATGCACGAGTGATTCTATTCATAAAAAGTGTCCGTGTAACAACTAAAAAGTGTCCGTGTATCATCTATAAAGTGTCCGTGTAACACCCGTTAATGTACTGTTTTTCTATAGCTCTGCTGGGGGCAAAGTCGTACAAATGGGAGAGTCCGATTTTTAAACCACTCAAGTAGTCTTCTTTTGCATGATCAGATATGATAATCTACTTATTACTTGTTAAGTACGTTCATCCCTTAAACTAAAAATAGGTAAACACCACTAAACAATGTTTAACAGCTTAGTTTCCGAAAACCGTACAAGTAGTTTCCTTTTAATAAGTATCCCATGCAATCATTTACAAATATGAAACCATCACTTTGTCTATAAATATATATCTGGGAAATCCTTCTTAACAATATACGACATAACGTTTGAAATGGTTACCGCAAATACATCTATTGAAACTAAAATGAATACCACAAATGCCTCCATTGTACTGGGTCGTTCAACTTTACTGACACTTTTAAATTCGACAGATAATGCTACAGTGCTGCCACCAACGAAAAGCGTCGGATTGCGTCCGCGTGTTCCTGTTTTGTCCGTAGTATCATTTGTGCTGGGAGTAATTGGGAATATTCTTGCAATTTGCGTAGTATTTCGATCTAAAGAACGACGCAGTTTGGGCGTGTTTCACAGATTTGTAGTAGCATTAGCCTTTACTGACCTGTTTGGCATTATAACAACATCTCCTGTAGTGTTTGCCGTCTTTTCGAGAAATGTTAGTTTGAAAACGAGTGAATCATTATGCAATTACATGGCGTACATGATGATATTTGCCGGACTAGCAACAGTTCTTGTAGTTGGTGCCATGGCTTTTGACAGATATTTAGCGGTGCTTCACCCGTTCAAATATAAATCTGTTAAAAAAAACTTTATTGTTAATATGGTTATATCTGGAATATGGCTTTTTTCTGTACTTATGGCTGCGCTGCCATTATTTGGCCTGGGTGTAAACGTTGTGCACTATCCAGATTCGTGGTGCTTTTTTAATTTCTTTGGTGACAGAGTAGAAGACAAAATATATGGATATCTTTATTCCGTACTAGGACTTGGTATCATTTGTTTGACAGCAATAATGAATTTGCGGGTAATTGCAGGAATCATTTCTGGGAGAAGAAGTGTTTCAAGACGTGGAAATATATCGAACAAAAAATCAAGATCCAGAAAAGACATTTTTATATCCGTGTTTTTAGTAGCAATATTTCTAGTATTTGCTATCTGTTGGACGCCATTTATGGTAGGTTTAAAATCAATTAAACCATTGTCGTGACGTAAACCTATTAATTTACCGTGGATTCTTTTTCTTTACATCCCAACTCCTTTGTTCTAACAGGGGTGATCTGAGTCGGATCACCCCTACCAGATCACACTACATTGAGTTTCTTTGTTCTGTAACATATTGGCGGGAATGTTGAACACCTAATAAAACGTAGAACCAAACTCAAGACCTTAAGCATATGAAGTCACGATTCATACCCCTACCATTTGATTTTTATGGGGGGCTAGGATGTAATCTCTGTCCTGCCTTTTTATTATTCACTCTATTCGGTCCTGCCTTTTTTTTTATTAGTTTATCCTGACTTTTTTTACATAAATTGTCATCCTGCCTTTTGTTTTGCCAAATTGCTGATCCTGCCTTTTTTTTTTACTCAAAACTCCTGTCCTGCCTTTTTTCAAATTTCATCCTAGCCCCCCCCCAACCCCCCCCCCCCCTAAAAATAAAATGGTAGCTCCCTAAAGGGTATATACTATATAGAAATATATAAAGTATATCATAATTATTGTATGTCATTCTGAACTAGATGTTATGAGGCGTAAATGTTTTTTTCATATAGTCCAGAAGAGCTGGGATGTAAAATTGTTATCCCACTCGGACTTGGTGTGTCAGTGTAAGATCACCCTCTGGCCTCCGGTGATCTTTCACTGACACACCGCGTCCTCATGGGATACCTATTACAGAATCAACTCTTCTTAAATCTGTCGCTGAAATGAGCTCACCAAATTATATTCAATTGTTTTCTTTATGTGTCTAATTTCATTAAGTTTGAATTGGCTAATTTACTGATTTCTGTTCACTAATGGAATTAAGTCTAGGTTAGTATATACCTTTTCATAGACTATCCAATTTAGCACTTGTACGACTTTACCCCCAGCAGAGCTATAGAAAAACAGTACATTAACGGGTGTTACACGGACACTTTTTAGATGATACACGGACACTTTTTAGTTGTTACACGGACACTTTTTATGAATAGAATCACTCGTGCATGATCAGAGAGTTCATGGGCACTTTAAATTTCAATTAGATTTGAACTTTTTGTTTCACGAGATATTTCCTGTCTTTTTGATTAAAATATTTACGTTAGCATCAATAACTATATTTCAAACAATTCCAGTAAATTACTATTCATATCAGTACACTAAGGGATTGACCATTTAACTTAAAAAAAAAAAAGGGGGGGGGGGGGTATGTCTTTTTTCTAAAAATATTTTGATACCCAATTTTATGAGAAAAAATATATTGTGGTCAAGCAGATGACAAAATAATGTTCTGATTCCCGATTTTCCGTATACCGTATATAATCGTCTAATTTCGAAAAAAAAAATGAAAATAGTTGGGTGATAGCGTTGAAAAAATAAATAATGTTCTTACTCAGAAAAGAAGATACCCCCTTTTGAAACTTAATGGTCGGTCCGTAAGTGTTTTTTTTTTCCTTCAACATATGGACATGAATAGTATTCTGGACAATGCTGAAAGTAAAGAAATGCTGGTAACAACGTTTATATTTCAATAAAAAAGACAGGAAATATATATAAAAAAATCAAATCTAATCAAAAGATAAAATCCCTATCAACTCACCAATGCACGATTGATCCTATAAATAAAAAGTGTCCATGTAATACATGTTCAAATATGCAGCCAATCGTGAAGAAAAATCATTCAACTAATGTCATCAATTTTGAACGGTAAGCTGCGATTGGATCATATAGTGACACGTGTTAAATCCTGATCAACACTATCAGAGACATATAAAAAAAAAACCTATATGTATGAACTATTAAAAAAAAATCCAAAATATATGCCTATATATATATATATCAAATAACAAGACAAAATATAGTTTTTCATAACACATTTCATTCACTTAATATCAGTTCTGTTTATTTTAAATGGAAAATGGATTAACCCCCCCCCCCCCCGCTTTCCCTTCCGTTTTTCCACAATAAAAAAAATCAAATGGTAGCTCTGTTTTTTTTTTTATAAATTACTTACTAGCGAAGTTGCATTCTAAACAGTCTCAAATGTAAACAACATGCACCTTTTCCTTGAAATGGTTCTTTTTTTATATAAAGTTTAGAAAAAAAATTCTCGGCTTAAGGGAAGTGAAAAAAAATGTGTTTAAACTGTAACTTACATTAACTGGTATATGGCCATTGAAGTTTCTAATATATTTAGTTTTACTACCTCTTCTAAATGCAAAATGTACTACTTCCTTCCTGAAACGTCGTACAAGTCAGATACAAAACAAAGGTAACAAAAAATAGGCCGGAAACAACCTGCCGTATAGTTTGTCTGCACTTGTAGTCAGGTCAAGGTCCTCGGCTAGCGCCTCGGACCTTGACCTGACTACTCGTGCAGAAAAACTATCCGGCAACGGTTGTTACCGGCCTGTTTCTTTGTTACCTTTGTATTGTATCTAATACATATTTACAACTCGAGTAATCTTTTAATTGGTCTATTAATAGTTTATTTTGGCTGAATACTTGTATCACAGGTGTTTGTAAAACGGAGCTCATTAACGAAATTTTGTAAATCTACTCACTATAGTATCATTGTAAAATATGTGATTTCAAAAGGCCATTGACTCCAGAATGAAAAGATGGTAGCTGCTGGTGTAAGTATGTTTATTGATATAAAGCGGTGTTTTACTATACACGTACTTCTTTACATGGTAAGATGATAAAATAAATTGACCAAAAGCAGGCAATTATTAAATTGCAGTGGAAGCTTTACATGTCTTGAAAACAATTTTCAATTTCACAGTAAAACTAAAGCTATAATAAATTTGAAACATAGATAGTATGCAGTGGTGGATCCAGGGAAAGGGAAAGGGGGGGGGGGGGGGTTCATGGGGTTGAAAAACCCCCTTTTTGGACGATCAATGCTTTTGAATGAGGACATATGGTTGGACCCTCCCTCCCCCCCCCCCCTCCTTTATCCTGGGTTGGAAGCCCCTTTTAAAAATGGCTGGTATGTCCCAATAGATAGTCTAGCGGATAGCCATTACAAAGCAACTACCAATAGTTTATTTTATTCATTTCAAAATAAACACTAAAAGATTTATCAGAACATGTATATAATATATTTATATATATATATAGGTGGCACATTCTCACGATTTTCAACTAATGACATCGTCCTGAACATGCATGAAATATTTGCCACTAGACATTAAGCAACCAATAATCAATCAATCAATCAATTCAGAACGAAATAGATCAAGTTGCCTTCACAAGGTTTCATAGAACACACTTTTTGGTGTACAAAGTAATTGGGTGGATATAAATTATCACAATTTTAAGATGGCGTTGTACTCTAATCAAGGTATAAAGAACCATATTTGTATCTCTTTATTTAAATGAAAGAAACTTGCAATCGTCAAAAACATTTTTTACATCCAAAGATTTTAATAGCAGGATATTTAAAAATCAATGTGAAAACTAATTACAAACTATTAAATTTAATTTGGAACACAGCCTTTTATTTCAAAATAGCCAGTGGCAATTTTTGTTTTAATATCTGTAATAGTTATACGGATAAGAAACCCCTCCGGCCTCCGGGGTTTCTTATCCAGACACACCGTATCCCGAGGTGTATAACTAACTTACACCCCATTCTAAACCCTATATTTGTTAACATTGATTATCAAATGAATAAAAAAACCGATAGCATATTTATTGATAATACCAAACCATGATTTATAAGATTTTTTTTTTTATTACATGAAACCCCACTAGTAACCTTTCTTTGGTTATTTTCGTTCAAACTTTGACAAGTGAGTATATTTTACAAATGTCAAGTTGTTTTGCATATTTCCGTTAAATCCAGTGCCAAAAGGATCAGAGGGTCAAGATTGACCATTTCGTGTATTCTTAATAGACATTTGCGGAAACTGTCATACACCTACGATTAGGATTACATTTACACTTACAGGTAGCATTTAAATCTTGGGTCGTTTCAAAGTGTAAATATAAACCGTCGGTTCAAAACAAAGACTAACTCCTATGATGTTTTTCTAACGAGATCAATTAGAAAAATAAAACGACAATTATCTTTCAATGCAATGAAAATATAAAGCAGATATATATTCGTCTTTACATATACTGGCCCGTTTTAATAAGTGATCCTAGAAATCTTTCAAGATGGTTGAAACGCCTTTTACCGTCAGGCACAAAATGTTAATTTTCGACTATCATTAACGACAACTTGATTCAATTTATATTGTGGTTTGTCAAATTATCCTTATTTGTCAGAGGTCTCAATTACTTAAACTTTACCGTTATAATTGGAAAACATATACCACGATTCGTCAAAATCAGTTGATTCTTTTCTATCGTCATAATGAACTCTATGTTTCTTTGTGGAGTTTTTGTGGACTTTGTATTTTCGTCGTTTTTCTTTTGACCATGGTGGAGTCTTTTTTCTTTGACTTATGGGTTCTAAATGCCCCTTTGCATCGTTTCCTTGTTTAAAAAAAAATAAAATTAACTTAAGTTGCATTAAACATAATTTTTGTACATGCATTACATTTTTCAATTAAATTAAGAATTTCCAAGCATAGACCCCCCCCCCCCCCCCCCCCCCCCCCCCCATATTCTTAAAGCACTCAGGTTGTCTTTATGTCTGTTAACCGAATTTTAGATTGAATGTAAGTCAAACAAGTTTTTTAAACGATGACTTTTATTTTCTATTTCTTTAGAAATAAAGTAGTTAATTACTATATATATATAAAAATATTAATTTTCGCGAACCATTTAGGTCACGGAAATTCCATTTTTTGCCATCAGTAAGGAGAGTTGTACAAATAATGTGAATACACAGAACCCCGATCCAATTCATCTTTTGCTAAAAATATTTATCATTTTCTGTTTTATATCTCCTATCATCATTCCATTTTTCTCTAATTTCGATTAAAATATGCCAAAACCTGCAGTAAAAATAGCTGTATGCCCCAA